GCAATCCCAAGAGAAAGTCAACAAAAGCATGCTAGATTAAATGGTCACCAATCTAGCTAGCCAAAAGCAAGATCTTCACAATAAAAAAATATTTGATTTTCTTTCTTCTTTTTTTCTTTTTCTTCTTTGTGCTCTTCCTTATTTCTTTTCTTTTCTTTTTATTATTAATCAATTTCGCAACAAACTCCACCTTGATTAAATAATTAAAAAAAACTTTGTTGCTCCACCTCACTTCTCTGGTGAGATCACCGCTACTCCGAATTTTTTTTTTATCTTTGGCGCCATCTGAGTCTGCTCCACCGAGACCACCGTTGCCAACCTCAAAGAAAAAAAAAATCCTTGTGGCTCCACCTTGGTCCAACCACCAAGATCACTACCACCTTGAAAAAATTTTCATGTCCTATCTTGCTCAATACCGCAAGCTCTCCGCCACCATGTGTTGACTCATGGTCGTGGCCTCACCTTGCTCAGTTATCATTGTACCCGTGGCTCCTTCTCAACCAACCCGTCAAGATCACCGCCACAACCTTAGCTCATTAGAGTTTTAACCCTCCACCCCAAGCTAAACAAAATGACAACTCACCTTTTTTTTAAAACTCTTTGAGACCACCCATCTAGCAATTAGCTTCTTTTGATCCGCCCATCTTGCACCGCCGCAACAACACCTGCGGGACACGCCGCCCGACCTCTTCTTGCCGGGAAGACTTTCGACACAAGACATAAGCCGCAGTTTTCTACTCCGCTAGACTATCGGTCTCCTCAAGTCATGTTCCTGCACCATACTTCACAAAGCCAGCATGCAGCTTCGTACCCGATCCTCATGCCATCCACTTTGTTCTTGAAGTCCCATGGTCGCCTTCTGGCCAAAACCGACCATTCCCTGGTTTCTCAAAATTTTCTCCTTTTACCGCTTACAAATCCCTCCTGCCCAGCGCAACCAAGCTCCGATACCAATTGTTGGGATTTTAAGCGCGTAAGATACCGAAAAATATTGAGAACACCAGAAAAATGAGAGAACTGAAGAATGAATATTTTCACATAAATTATTATGGGAGATTACATGTATAAATATAGAAGAGTTTCCTAATGATAATAGGAAAAAATATTAATTACATCCTATACAATTATGGAAGCTACCAATATATTAATATTAAATATAGTAAGAATATATTTAACATGCTCCCAACGGCACCAAAGAAGATCGCCGCACGCCCAGACAGTCTCGAAACTCGGAGAAAACCATGGAGGGTAGTCCCTTGGTGAAGATGTCAGCATACTGTAATGAAGAAGGCACATGAAGGACTCGTATCTGACCAAGGGCTACTCTGTCTCGCACGAAATGAATATCTACCTCAATATGCTTTGTGCGCTGATGTTTAACTGGGTTGGCCGAAAGGTAGACAGCACTGATGTTATCACAGAAGACCAGTGTGGATCGCATCAGAGGTGTCCGGAGTTCTAGAAGAAGATTGCGCACCCAACAGACTTCAGCGACAGCATTAGCGATAGCTCGATATTCTGCTTCAGCACTGGATCGAGAGGTGGTGAGTTGTCGCTTAGACGACCAAGAGATGAGATTGTCGCCTAGAAAAATGCAGTAACCGGATGTCGATCAACGAGTATCTAGGCAGCAAGCTCAGTCAGCATCAGAGTATGCCCGCATATGATCTATCTGAGATGGTGAGATGGTGATGCCATGGGTAGGTGTACCGTGAAGATAGCGCAGGACGCGCTTCATGGCTGTGACATGCGGCACTCGAGGATCATGAAGGAAGAGACATAACTGCTGTACGGCATAGGTAATATCCGGGCGTGTGAAGGTGAGGTACTGCAGTGCTCCCACAATAGAGCGATAGAGAGAGGGATCTGGCGCTGGAGGACCAACGGTGGCCGAGAGCTTCCCGCGGGTGTCCACGGGTGTAGACACGGGTTTGCACGAGGTCATGCCTGCCCGCTCGAGGATGGCATAGATAAACTGAGTCTGAGTGAGGAATATGCCGTGAGAGGTCCGCTGGACATTGATCCCAAGAAAGAAGTGAAGGTCACCCATATCTGTCATAGCAAACTCCCCTTTTAGTCGTTCTGTGAGCTGGTGTAGTAAGGCAGTGGATGATGCAGTGAGGACAATATCATCAACATAGAGCAGAAGTAGGGCCATGTCCTGACCACGACTGTATACAAACAAGGAGGCATCACTCTTGCACCCACTGAAGCCAAGAGAGAGAACAAATCTCGTGAATCGCTGGTACCAAGAACGGGGGGCTTGCTTGAGTCCATAGAGTGCCTTATTTAATTTGCAGACATAATGTGGGCGAGTAGGGTCCTGAAATCCCGAACGCTGAGCAGTGTAAACAATATCTGAGAGGTAGCCCTGCAAGAAAGCATTTTTGACGTCGAACTGGTGGATCGGCCATCCTTTGGACACGGCTAGGCTCAGAACAATGCGTATAGTGGCTGGTTTGACAACCAGGCTGAAGGTCTCGTCGTAGTCGATGCCATGGCGTTGGTTGAACCCACGAACAACCCATCGGGCTTTGTACCTGGACAGTTCACCTGTTGGGCCAAGTTTGTGGCGGAAGAGCCATTTTCCGGAGATCACATTTTGGTTAGGGGAGGGGGGTACTAGATCCCATGTATGATTAGCTATCAAGGCATTATATTCATCTAGCATAGCATTGTACCAGTTAGGATCTTTGAGAGCACTACGGTAGGTAGGGGGTATGGGGGAGATGGGTACAACGGTGTTGAGGTTTAGGATTTGTTTAGGGCAAAAGATGCCGGCCTTGGATCGGGTAACCATCGGGTGGGAGGGG